GCCATAAAAAAGAATGAAATCATATCATTTGTGACAACATGGATGGACCTAGATAGAGGGCATTGTGCTAAGTGAAATAAGTCAGACAAATTCCATATGATTTCTCTTATATGTGGAATCTAGCAAACAAAAGAAATGAACAAACAAAACAGAAACAAACTCATAGATACAGAGAACAAATTTATGGTTGCCAGATGGGATGGGTTTTGGAGAGATGGATGAAAAAGGTGAAAGGGATAAAGAAGTACAAACTGCTAGTTATGATAATAGTCATAGTGATGTAAAGTATAGCATAGGGAATATGGTGAATATGATGTAATAACTATGTATGGTGCCAGATGGGTACTGGACTTTTTGGGTGATCACTTTGTAAAAGTATGTAAATGCCTAGTCACTATATTTATTGTACAACTGAACCAATAATATTGTATGTTTTACATTCAATTTAATGTTATTACAAATATTCAACTATAATGAAATTCACAAATTTAGTGAATATCATTACAAAAACAAAATGAAAAGGAGAACTGAAAGTGGGAAATTCCTGAGATAGAGAGTAGATGACCATATAAATAGCCCATACTCATGAAGCAAAGACATTCGCTCTTCAAACCTTTGAAGCCTTTACATCACTGCCTAGGTGGTAACAGGCAACGCTATTCCTGTTTTCATCATGACCAACAGGTACATCCTTCAGATGGCTCTCCTGTTGTGTTTCTCCACCACAGCTCTTTCCATCAGCTACAACTTACTTAGATTTCAACAAAGAAGCTGCAATTTGGCCTGTCTGAAGCTCCTGCGGCAGTTGAATGGAGTCCCTCAAAATTGTCTCGACGACAGGATGGACTTCGAGATTCCTGAGGAGATTAAACAACCACAGCAGTTCCAGAAGGAGGATGCCATTTTAATCATCCACGAGATGCTCCAGCAGATCTTTGATATTTTCAGAAAAAATTTCTCTAGCACTGGCTGGAATGAGACCACCATTGAGAACTTTTACATGGAACTCAGTCAGCAGACTGACCGCCTGGACACAGCCCTGGAGGAAATAATGGAGGAGGAAAACCTCACCTGGCGAGACACGACCATGCTGCACCTAAAGAATTATTACTCAAGGATCACACGGTACTTGAAGGCCAAGTTGTACAGCAACTGTGCCTGGACAGTAGTCCAAAAGGAAATCCTCAGGAACTTTGTCTTCCTTAACAGACTTACAGACTACCTCCAAAACTGAAGATCTCCGGTCTGTGCCTCTGGGAATAAAGAATGCTGACTGACTTCAGCCTTTCTTCAACCAGCAGAAGCTGTTTTCATGACTGATAGCTAATGCACTGCCTTTGAAAGGACAGTTAAAGACTTTGCTTTTTTTATTAAGTTATGCATTAAGTTATTTTTTTAATTTATTTACACTTTTGCCTTGGAAAATAAAATTTTTTGAAACAAAAGTCATCATGGCAGTTTTGATTTCAACTTGATATATAATATATAACCACCCATATTAAAAATTGCAGAGCACCTACTAGATGTTCTTTCTAAAATATACCTGTAAAGTAGTATGGGACCCTGCCTTCAAGGAATTTGAGCTTCAAGAAAGTCACATGGAATATACAAGGTAAGAGACAATAAAGGGACCTGTATCTTATTTGAGAATAAATGTGGCCTGAGGCTCTATAGAATTAAAAAGGAAGAGCCAGGCAGGTGGCTCTGGAACTAGAATTAGGGTGCCTACTGTTTCTACTCTGTACCCCAGGTTCTCTAGCTCTAAAGTTAGAATTTGACTGGCTCTCAGGGTAACCAGAGGAATATCTCAGCTCTTGTGCTCACCCTAAACTCATCCTTGTTATCTGTGGGATGCTCTGCTCCCCACTCTAACCCCACCTTTTCCCCGGGATTTAAAAATATTTACATGCCCCTCACAAGACGAATGTGAGAAGTCTCAGACACTTCTATAACACTGTTAAGTAGCAGTCCCTTTAGTTTACTCTTCATGGAACAGCCAAGATGTGTGGGTGTTTTAGGGGGAGCTTTAGTCTGTCTGCTTCCAGGGCACAGACAACAGAGGGAGGAACTCTGCTTTATTCTCCTGCTATCTGGTTAGGTTTTTGCCCCATTTCCTCCCCCAGAAAAGCAAGTCCACTCTGGTTTCCCCTACCTTGTTTGTACAGAATTCAAGGAAAAGCCTACCTGATTTTCCTGTTGCTCTGCATATCTGAAGCCACATACTCCCTAGAGCCAAATCCTAGTTAGGTGAAGCAGATTAAGTCATTTCAGGCCAAGTGGAAAACCAGGAAGCATGGGAGAAAGGGAAATTCAGGTGGGGTAGAGAGGGTACTGACTTTTCCCACAGATGTTTTCCTAGTTGCTGTTTGGGTCCCTGGCCAGCAGGGCCTTGAGTCAGAAGGGGGAGCCCCGACTTTATTGTCTGCACAATACTTACTGTCTTCTCTGCAATTCTTGACTGACAGACTTCTCACGGCTGAATCTCTTAAAGGGAACTCAGACTTCTGTGCTGCTGCTCTAGGAAAAAATGCCTACATACAAATGAGGTCTTATAACTTTCTTTCCTTTGAACTTTTCTAAACCTCCACTCACTAGCTATGAGACCTTGGGGCAGTTACTAAACCTCTACGAGACTTAGTTTCCTAACTTGTAAAATAGGAATAATGTAATTGTGCCTATCTAAGAAATGTTTGTGAGGAGAAGAACCAAATCCAATTACATACATAAGAGCTCAGCACTGTGCCTGGATGGCAGCTGCTAATGACAGGAACATTCATACTAATCCAAGATCCCAAGGGATTCAGTACAAAGATAGGAACTCAGTCACGTGATGAAACCCTCTCCTGTATTTCTTCCGTATCCTCGGTAGAGATGGCCTCCCACAGAGTCCCTGTGTATGTAGAAATCATAGAATGTCCAGGTCCATGTTTGAAATAGTAGAAGGAAACAAGCATAGGATGGCCAGACATCTGTACGTGAACCAAGTTAGTGGGGCAGAAGGCAGAGTCATGACCACAGAGCCACTTTCCTACCTCCTACCTTAGGAATCCAAGGAAATCATGGAGAGGTATGGGTGCTTCCATAGACACAGATTGGAGAAGTTTTATTTAGCTCTGAAGCAGTTAGGTGCCCTGGCAAGCATCTGGGTTGTATTTAATACATAAATATTGCCTAACTATTTGGACATATAGATTACGGGGTAATATCAGTGTACATTTGTACGGTATTTTTTTGCAGTTTATAAAGGCATTCTGGGTGTCCTTAGGTACCTTTAAGTACTCAAATACATCTGATGCAAGGACTTCAGAAAATAAGAAAAGGGGCCAGGTGAGTGGCTCAGTTGGTTGAGAGTGTGAGCTCTGAGCAACAGGGTCGCCAGTTCGATTTCCACATGGGCCAGTGAACTGAGCTGGAGCTGAGCTGCCGCTGGGCTGCCGACGGGTGGCAGGATGGCTCAGCTGGCGAGAGCACATGCTCCTAAGAAAGTTGCAGATTTGACTCCCGCATGGGATGGTGGGCTGTGACTCCCGCAACTGGGATTGAACCCTGCACCATGAGCTGAGCAGCTGTAAGCTGCCGAAGGGTGACCAGATGGCAACTGGACTTGGAGCTGAGTTATCTGCACCCTCCACAGCTGGGATTGAAAGACAACAATTTGGCTGTTCCCCTTCCCGTATTCCCCAACACTGTTCCCCTTCCCCAGTTCCCCAACACTGTTCTGTTTCCCTTCTCAATCCCCCAATAAAATCTTTAAAAAAAATTATAAAAATAAAAAAAAATTAAAAAAAATGAGAAAAGCATTCATCAACTAGGAGAAAATATTTTCAAATCACAATATCTGATAACGGACTTGTATTCAAAATATATTTTAAAAAATACTCTCAAAACTCAGCAATTGGAAGATAATTAAGCCCCCCCTAAAAAACAAAAACAAAATTAAAAAAACTTGGGTGATATATTTGGGGGTTTTTTTTGTTGTTGTTGTTTTATTTTTAGCTGAGCCATCCTGCACCTGTTGGCAGCTCAGCAGCAGCTCAGCTCGGGCTGGGACTCGAACTGCTCTTGATCAGATCTTGCATTCTTGAGTGAGCTCTTAACCAACTGAGCCACTTGGCCAGCCCATTGGGTGATATAGTTGAATAGAGAGTACACCAAAGAGACACATGAACAGCAAGCAAATAAGTACATGGAGATACTAAAACTGTTTTCATGGATTTTTTTATGGCTTAGTTAGATCAGATGAATGTGAAATAGGTTATGATTACAGAGGAGCCCATTCCACCATGAGGATGTAGCACAGCCACTGCCATTCCTGAGGAAAGCCCACCAGCCATCCTGGTTGAGTTCTATATGTTATACATCTTGAGGTCTGGCCAGCAGAAAAGGCAGGACCCTAATCAATACGGACTTTTGTATTGGCTAGTCTGGCTGTGAGACATACAAAGAGAGCCAGCAGTTGGCACTGAAGTTAGAAGGTGAATGGTACCCAAAATCAGAGCTGGCCAATTGCAGGTATTTCCTCTAAATCTGTTGTGCCAATGCTTATGAAACCTAAAAAACCAAACTGTTTTATAATTTGTTCTTTTGTCTTCAATGTTAACTGTTGTTTTTTAAACATCAGATTATCTAAAATCTCCTAGAATAGTTTAAAAATCAAGCTCTGAGATTGGATGGACTAGAATTGCCAGCACAGGAGCATACCATCCTAATTTAGTAGGACCAAGTTAGTCACTTAACTTGTTAGTTGACTTGATGGTGAGTACCCAGAAACTTGTTCACATCAATTACCACCAAATCAGTAAATTCTGCTTCAATTGACTTTCTTTTTTAAAATTCCTGCTTTGCTTTATAATACCCTGAGAAGGATATAGTTAGGAAACTCAAATTGAATTATTTAAGTTATATCCCCCAATAAATAACATAGGAATAAGAAAAAAATGGAGCTACTTCAAAAACCCTCTTAAGCAAATGAAAAGACATGTCACAGACTGGGAGAATATATGTGCAAGTCATACATGTCTGATAAAGGACATATATCAATACATAAACAATACAACACAGACTGAAAGTAAAGGAATAGGAAAAAGATATTTCATAAAAACGGAAAAGGGGAAAAAAAACTGGGGTGGCAATGCTTATGCCCGACAAAATAGACTTTAAAACTTAGGCTCTAACAGGATGCCCCTGGCTACTCTAGTACCCACCTGGCACTATACACAGTTATAACCATATTATTGATTTTTATTCCTTATGCTTTACTTTACATCCCCATGACTATTTTGTAACTAACAATTTGTACCTCTTAATACCTTCACCTTTCTCACCCTGCCCCCTAACCCCCTCCAATCTATCACCCCAACAAATCTAGTACCCATCTGACACCATCCATAATTATTACAATATTAATGACTATATCCCTTATGCTATACCCTACATCCCCTGACTACTTTGTAACAACAAATTGTATTCTTAATCCCATCCCCTTTTTCACCCACCCTGAGCCACGCTCCTGTCTGGCAACCATCAAAATGTTCTCCATATCTATGAGTTTGTTTCTGTTTTGTTTGTTTATTTTGTACTTTGGAGTCCACATATAAATGAAATCACATTGCATCTGTATTTCTCCGTCTGACATACTCCACTCAGCACAATATCCTCTAGGTCAGCGGTTCTCACCTGTGGGTCGCGACCCCTTTGGGGGTCGAATGACCCTTTCACAGAGGTCGCCTAAGACCACTGGAAAACAAAAAGATATTTACATTACTATTCATAACAGTAGCAAAATTATAGTTATAGAGTAGCAACGAAAGTAATTTTATGGCTGGGGGTCACCACAACATGAGGAACTGTATTAAAGGATTGCGGCATTAGGAAGGTTGAGAACCGCTGTTCCAGGTCCATCCACAGGTGGCAAGAACCCATTCCCTTCCAAGCAATATTTCATTATTTGGAAGCATGTGGAGCAAATTAAACTCTCATACACTGCTGGTGAAAATAAAACATAATACAACCACTTTGATAACCATTTTGTAGTTTTTTACGAAGGTAAACATATACCTACCATATGACCCAGCCATTCTACTTGGTTATTTACCCAAGATAAAAGAAAACAGGTTTCCATGCACAGACTTATATATGAATGTTTGTAGGAGCTTTATTTGTAATATCCCCAAGCTGGAAACAACTCAAATGTCCATCACAGGAAAACGATTAAAGAAATTGTAGCATATCCTT